TTTTATTTAAAATCACTTAGCATAATCAAGAGTATAATTCAATATTCTCATTCCTAACAATGCATGCTCATAAGATGATGATTGAATAGTACAATTTTACATGGAAGTAGGATTAATCACATGACTTATTTCACCAGGGTTTTATCATTAGATGCATGATCACACTTTCTTTATATTTTTTTATGCCTCTGACATGAAACCGTGGGCTATAACACATTGGGATCGTTTATAAATTGAGACTATTATAACCAAAACATGCGAGAGAGATCACTCAGCCAAGGTTTCCTCTCATTGGTGAGTCATAGTTTCTCCCATTTTCTCATACTATGGGGTGTCATTCTCCCTATACTAATTTCCTATTTAGCAAGTGGATAACTAGCTAAGTTTGAGTTCCTTGTTAAACCAGCAGGACAGTCTCTCGTTGAACAAGTGGGACAATAATGTAAATAATCCAAGCAAGCCATTAAGCTCAGGTGGAAGGCTTACCATATGGGTTTAATTATTTACTCATCTTTTTAGACGAACTCCCTATCTCTCATGATCATGCAATGCATAAATAAGCAATATTTCAAGGCATGCAATTTCTCCATGTCAAGCACGCATAGCATCATCACTACACTAATCTCACACATGCAAATCACATGAATACGCATAATCAGATTATTGAACTCTTCTTTTACACGTTTGTTGAACTCTTCGACTATACATTTCATTAAACTCCATAAATATTACTTCATTGAATTTTACAATTTTTATTTCATTGAACCATTGACACATCAAGTCATTAAATTTTACCAAGCACATAATCATTGAACTCCCCGTCGACTCATATCATTGAACTCTAAAGAAGTACATTATGGTACCCCACTAACAATGTTTCATAGAAATTTGCATATATCATATCATCGAACTTTACAAAATTATTATAGTGGATTTTTCAAGTAATTCATGCTACACTTGCATTTAATTGAAATTCACACATTTAAATTATCAAATATAAATCAATAAATTAATTAACACATAAAAGCACAAGAAAGAACTTTTTCGATTACCTCAAACATTTTTATCCTTCAAATACTCACTCCCAAAGCTTTTTACAAAGCTTTAATGATATCAAATATGCTTACTCTACAATTAATCATAATATAATTCATCAATACCTTTTTTGGGATAACTTTTACTATTAACTCAAACACCTATTCGCTTTTAAGATTCAATATCTTCCCATACAATAATACCCATAAGATTTTTTTACCTTTTCTTAACTCACATTAACTTCATTGAACTATTAAATAATCATTAATGGAGCCACATTACTATTTTTAACATTTTATAATTTACCAACTTATTCTAACTTTTTAAAATTTAAAATTTTGAATTTAATCATCATTTTTTACCTTTAATGATATTTTTAATAAGTTATAATTTAAAGCTTAATATTTTTCTTTAAAAACATTAAATTAGTTCCAATATATATGTACATATACATACAGAGCGCATACGCGCACGCTTTTTTTTGCCAACACACGCACACATACATACAATAAAATTTATATTCTTTTTTATCATATACATGTAAACTAGTTTTTGAAATCTATCATCTAAATAAATTTAGTTTTTTCAACTGAATTTTTAAAAAAATTAAATTTTCTTAATTGAATATTTTAAAATTTATAATTTAATTCAATGTTTTTAAAAAAATTAGGATTTTTGATTTATCAATGTTTTTTATATTTGTAATCTTCTTTTTTAAAAGATTGTTATTTTAAGTTTAATAATATTTTAGCCTAAAATTATCAAATTAATTGAAAAAATATATATAAAAAAATTTATGTCCATTTTTATTATTATATATTTCAACTGATTTTTAAATCATATCATCCAAATAAATTTAAGTTTTTTAAACTGACTTAAAAGAAAAGTATTCAAATATAAATCACCATTTCTAACTTCAATTTTCTAATCTCAATTAATTTTAACATCAATTACAATTTTTTTTTTGAATTTAAACACTCAGAGTGACTGAAATACAAAATCTGTGCTGCTTACGTTTATTTTGGCACTTTGTGCTATTTAATTAATTAAATATTCTGCCTTGCCATGTCTCCCGTCGAAGTCATCAAAAAGGGGCTTATCGGTGGTAGCTGAGCACCTGGAACTACCGGTTTAATTTGTATACGATCGTGTGGTTCTTCTGTCAAAGCCACCACGTGTTGATGCTTTATTGTTATTATTATTTTCACCTTTTCTTTTTGGAGCTGATCAATTGATTCTTCGTTTCAAAACACGTGATTTCAATTGTTCATTCTGAATCCGCAGAAGCAATCGATAATAGATTTTTTCAGTATCTCAGATATAAACACAGCAGAGACATAGCCATACCGCACCACACCTTCCTTGAAAAAATGACTTTACTGTATGAGCGACTCCTTAAATACTCAATTTATTTACTATTGTGATTCCAACATGCATGTCGATGGCAATACAAAATAAGATGATATCACATAGTTCTGGTCTCTTCAACATACTAACACAATAATGCTACTGCTCACCCAGTAGATTGCTTGATGCGGATAAAGTCACAAAACCGAAGCAAAATCACCGACAGACGACTTCTAGTTTCAAACCTGGTCAAGCATCAAGACCCACATAAAGCTGAAAGAAAACAGAATGAAGTTAATGCCAAAGAGTTGAAGTTGCCCTGTGGAAGAAAAAGGGACTACGAATGACCCAATTTTCTGCAAATGAATGATCTGATCTCCTTCAGCCGCCTCCCAGTCCCACCATCCCCCAGCCACCAGAAAGTCAAAGGACAACACATAGGTAAAGTTCAGCATTATATTTGCCATCAGCTAGATTCTTCAAGAAGAGCATGGCAAGTGGATGAGAACCTGATAGCAAATACATAAAAATTGTACCCCAAGTTTTGGCCATATGGAAACTCCGGTGGTGGGGGAGGCAGGGATGAAGTCGCCGGCCGGTCCTTAACAGAGAGCCATCGAGGAAAGACTTCAACTCATGGGTGAGAATTTGCTAGAAGGAGGTGAGAAAATCATAAAGTATGACAGGGTTTAAAAAGCAGAGGGAGCTTCAGTATCCAATGGGCGCTTCCTTCTCTCAAGGGGTTTGTAAAAATCGCATCTTCCAAGGTATATGCGTCGACCACCTTCGCTGCTCCACACACCTCATGTCCACACCATTCAGTACTCGTTTTTTCTTTCCACAAACCTTTTGCCTCCCACCCTACAAATAATCCTTCCATCCCATTTAGCGGCCCCACGCGCTAAATGGGACGTGGCAGCGTCGGGTTTCATCTCTGGACTGAGCCAGTCATAGTGCTATTTGAAGCGCGTTAAGCATACCTTCTGGAGGCTGCAGGTTTGGGTACGAAGTTTTGTTTCTTTTCCCATCAATTCTAAACTAATGTCTTTTTATTGTTCAAAATATAATATTAAGTTAAATCTGGAAAATGGTAGTTTTAGCAGAAGTTTCATCCCACTTTGTGCTTAAGAATAGCGTACGAAGGCTGGGCTGGCATGTGTAAGTCACCATCCATGTAAGGGAAAGAATGAGGTGGAGGTGCTCTTTTAGGTCAGGACTCAGGCACAATGGAGAACCAAGAACTTTAGAAATGTATATACTTTGTTCTCATCATATTGGCTCAGAATTTTTCTGTTATAGCAGGTTTAGGATTGGATGATCATGACCTGCCCATTTTCACCATGTCTTGTCTGATTTGGACACACACACACACACACACACACACACACACACAACATCATGCCTTAACCAACTGCAAGGATTTCAACTAGATGTACCTCATCCTCGTTTATTTGCCATCGAGAACTTGTCCAAGCACATGTGGAAGTGAAAACGACATTGTCATTTAGTCCTCATCCAGTCATCTGATGCTAACAGTTTTCATTATTAGTTTAGGTGGTTAAAAGGAGAAGTCCATAGTCCAGTTAAACGAAACTATAAATCTCCTACAACTAAATCTTTCTGACAGTGTAACTTGAACTTGAGAGGCAGGAAACAGATAGGGCCCTGGATTCAATCACTTGAACCACAAAGGAAAAACAAAATTGTGGACATTTTGCTCTCTTTTTTAAACTAGCGGCGGGTTTGGGGGAAAAGGTGGGCACTGATGTATTTTTAAAATGAAAAGTTCAAAAAGAAGCAAGACATAGGCATACAAGAAATAGTAAAACTTGAAGTGTCATCTCCCTTGTCAAATTCAATCAGTACACATACACTGAACAAGATTGGATTTAGAATGCAAAAGATGATATACAATATGTTATGGCATCCAATGTTCATAACACCTTGTGGTTTGCTTAACCCGAGAAGCAAACAAAGGCATCAACTTATTGCAGTGATTTTGGAATTCCGTGCAGCCAAAGGTAGAATCCACGCATAGCCCTGTTAAAAATTAAGCCTCATAGAAGGAATCAAATAGACCATTCCTTGTGATGGTGGCATATTCCATTCTCCCTCCTGTCCCTAATTCAAAAATCCGAGCCAGTACATATTCATGTACTCTTTTCTCATTAAATTAATCTCAAGCACTGGGCAAAGCTGTGCCGTGCATTGCCTTCATTTTTCCTTTTCCTTCCTCATCGAGCTCTAAGGAACCAAAACTTATCATTAGAAGGTGTTATAGTATTGGTGACATTCATTGGTACACCCCATTGGATTAGTTCATATTCATTGGCTTATTTCACCAATCTTGGACGCAAGATGTGCGCCTAAAAGTTGCTGTGTTTGTTTAATCCAACCTTACTGGATAGGCACACGATATCGCTTTATTCCCAACACAGCTACTGTGCTGTTTGTGACTATAATGGAAGTAATACTTGAATCTGAAGAAAAGAACAATTCTGGACCTGAACAATCCCTTAGATGTCTTGAGTTTGGAACACGAAATACTAAAAGAGAAAAGTGTTGAATAAAAATTTAAAGAAAGATTACGAAGAGACAACCGAGAGATATCTTACATCGGGTTCACCACGGTATATGCACACCACGATATATGCACACCATTTGCTTCTTCAACATGTCATTCCTTGCTTTGCATTCTTAAGCACGGTTACAGTATAATTCGCAGAACCAACCTTTAGAAATGGCCACTCCGCCTCCCCCCTCACGAAAACGCTCAAGCCTCCTTCGTTGCATCGCCATTGGAATTTTAGCCTTGGTGATCCTATTGGGCATTGCTGTGCTCATAACTTGGCTGGTTCTCAAACCTAGAGGCTTGGTTTACACGGTAGAAAATGCTTCGATCCACAATTTTAACTTAACCGACGCAAATCACCTCTATGCCAATTTCGATTTCACCATAAGATCTTACAACCCCAATTCTAGAGTCTCATTTTACTATGATTCCGTGGAGATTTCGGCGAAGTATAAGGACCAGACACTAGCGACCAACGGGGTTCAACCATTTTTCCAGTCACATAGAAATGTGACTCGTTTGCAGGTGAGGCTCACTTCTCAGACGGTGGCCTTATACGGGTCCATGCCAAAGGACCTGAGGCTGGAGAAGCGATCCGGGGATATTGAATTGGATGTGTTGATGAAGGCAAGGATACGGTTCAAGGTAAGGCTGTGGAAATCAGAGGAACGAACCATGAGAATCTTTTGCTCTCCCGTTCTGGTACACTTCTCTGAGTCCAAGGGCTTTGAGAGGGTCTACTGTGACGTAGAACTCTAAATCAGCCCATAAATCGGGTTTATTGCTATCCATGTTCAGGGAAATATTGCTGCCGGTGTTTGTACATCTAATGACGGTGATCGAATTTATATGCAAACTCAATCCCAATTACTGTGTTGATTAAATAGTATTTGGCGTGACAGAATTCTCATGGCTTCGGTGCTCTCGTCATTTTCTTTTTCCAATTTTTTGTTTGCTTGTTCTCTTGTTTTGTAATTGGAGATTCTACTATGTATTCTTTACAATCATCATTCTTGATCCCCCCCCCTTTCCGGTTTACAGGTTCTCTTTTGGTCTTTCCTTAGGCTATATGGATGTCAAATATTTGTGTTCCTATGCTACATGGATGTCTGTTTTAAGATGATTGTTATATCTTTATTTACTGTTACTTGGTCGGGCACCTCCATTTGAGTAAACCAACCTTCTAGTTTTATTGGGCTCTGTTTTTGGAGAGTTACACTATTGGGCTTCTACTAAAGCAGCATTCTTTGTTAACACCAATTATATAGTTGGATGTGCACTATTCACGGGCCTAATATAACTCCTTAGCACGCCAAAACAAAAACAATACAGGGACAGAGTCACAGAGCACCTCTTTAGGAAAAACCATTTGGGTCCTGAAACCAGGGCCACATTTAAAATTATAACACTAACTTTGAACATAACAAAGTTACAAAACCCCTATAAATTCTGAATCAAGATAAAAACGGTAAATCCTACTAGTTCGAAAAGAAGATAATAATGATTATTTTCAATTGATTAAGATAATACATTTTCCAAAGCCTGTGATTCTGGGAAACAAAAAGGATTGTAAAGCAGATGACCCCATTTATATATGGATGGGCATTGGACTGCGGATTTGCTGGTGTAGTACGTCTACGGGGTCAGTGGTTGGTGGTGTATTTCAATTTTCCACCAAGCCACCAACCTTTCAAGTGAATGCTGAGGAGGAAACAACTTCTCCAAGTAAAGCAAAACGAGAGTATGCGTAAGGATAAATTACTCTTGGCATTCGCATATTTCCCAACAAAGTAAACACTGTAACGTGTACTTAATTAGTACCACAGCTGTTTCTGTTTTCTTGGCGTTTTCTCTGGGGACAACGATTACTCAGAAAGATCATGAAGCGATGATTGGAGTGTGATGCGTTTCCGAAAAAGAGTGAGGCAAGAGAGGTGTCAATCAAGGCAAAAACCTAAAAACAACAGGACAAGTTGGTGGTCGGGCTCCTTTGTTGAACTTAATTGCGAGTACTTGAGCTGTAAAGCACCCCGGGGGGGGGGGGTTTGAAAATACATGACAATTTGGCATGTAATTGATGGCCTTTCAGCAACAAGAAAAATGGCGCAAACATAAATACATCCCACGAATTGGACCCAAGTGGATTGGAGCGTTGCAGGAGACCTTGGTGCGCAGGGGGAGCAGTTAACAGACAAGATTTGATACGATATGACACACAAAACCCCATTACACGTTTAAACACTGCATTTCTTTCTCAACGTCCTTAATTTGTACGCACATTGTTGGATGCTCCTTCGGCCATATTTATAAATTATTTTTATTAATCTCTTTAATATTAATATAATAAAAATATAACAAATAAAATTTAATAGTATTATAAATATAACTCTCAAAAATAAATAAACTATATAATACATTATTCATTTTAAATTATAAGATAATTTTAAATAAAATTTTACATATCAATAGAGCTCATTAAATATATTTTATAATTTACTTTTTCAAGATAAAAATATAAATTTTAAAAAATACCCCTCATTCAGTATTTTATTGATAAAAAAAATATTGAAAAAAAGAATACATGATAAGGGTAAGATTGAAAAAGTATCATTAATAACACTTTATTTTTGTCAAAATATCTTATATTTTGAAATGTTGAATCTTCTAAAAGTGTGTTATAATTTGAAATAGAAGGAATATTATTTTTTTTATCTCTCTCTTACTTTTTAAGGATAGTTTAGATATTTTATTTAAAATAAAACATCGCTATCAATTCAATGACTCAAACCATTTCACCTAATAAAGTGAATCGAAGGCAGTACATCTATGTTCTCCTTCTTTTCTTTCTCGAGATTTTGTGGGTGTGCAACATCATCGATCTCCAACCTTTCCACTCATCTAGGTGTTTTTTAAAGATTTTAGGGACACGTACGTACATGATCACGTAAATACACCTATAATATATTTAAAGATTTTTGAATTATTTGTGACATGTTAAGATCAGCATTCGTAAAAGTCCCATCGCCATACAAATTAACGCACTCGAATATAAAGCATTGCCTACGCAATATTGCATGATTGCAGTTATGTGCTGGGAAAACGACGAGCTTATTCTGTTGAAGAACATGTGGAGCGAACCATCAAGGCGTACATATAAAATAAACCCCTTTGCTGGTGAATACCAGAACCCCGAGGTACGTAAAAAACAATGACTTTTTGTGCATTATTTACTTGGTCTGATCTGGGTTATGGAAAATCGTTTTCGGGGCGACAATGAGACGAGGATGATGGAACCATGGAAGTGATCGGAGCAACGACGTCTCAGGGGGGAACCTGCCATGTGCATGAACAAGATTACAGGACATTCATCGGTTAGGGAGAAGGAATATAGATAAGTGTGAGATGTGTTTCGAGTCAGTCAAACAGTCTCTTGGACGGCATTTCCTTTGCGGACATTTGCGGCCCTACGCAGCATTAATTTCCAAAATCAGAACACCCTGGATCCGTAAAAATATGAACAGAGAATATCATAATGGAGAGTTTATCATGTCTGACATATGGTGGGAAAAAGCTTACACTCTCTAAACATCGCATATATATACATATATCTAAAGAGACTAAAATGAAAAATAAAACCCATTTAAGAAGAATTAATGAGAGGCTAGAGAGGCTGAGAGTGATACTGATAGGATGTACGTTTTGCGGGGGCGCAGAGTGTTGGTAAAAAATGACGAAGGGAAGAGACAAGGGTCCGTATGGTTCGTAGGTGATGTGAGAAGAATCTATGAAGATTAAACTTGGAGAGCAACTTGTATAATTGTGTTTGTCCTTGCACTGTCGCATCACCATGATTAAGCCTCCTTTTATGGAAATAATAATTTAGTTTAAGATATCCAGGAATGGGTTAATCGATGGTTGTAGATGAGGATAACCCCCCACTTCCCACTCGCTCGATCGACGTGGGCTTCATTTCACGACTGCTAATCTGTCCAACTTGATCGATCACCTCAAACACTGCTTCTTTCCTCTTATTGCTTCTCTTGAAATGTCGGCAATTGTAATGCTTCGAGTCTCAACTTCCTTCCATCTCACTTGCCTGTTATTAAGTGACCAAACAATTAGATCAGGCTTTGGGTTAAAAATTAAAGTTTCCTTTCTTTTCTCTTGCTTCTTTTCTTCGCATGCCACTACAAGCTCTCGTGTTTTATTCCTTTAACTCTAAGAAATGTCGTTTCTGCTCTTTCCAGGCCATCCATAGACAATCAAGAAATCGTGCACACACACATATATATATATGTATGTATTTAAATTTCAGTTTGATATAATTAATTATAAAAAAATTAATTAATGTGATTAATGTTAAATATAATTGATGTACATAATTTATTTTAATCAAAATTAAAAAGTAGAATTAAAAAATCAGGTAAAATTATGATTTTGTAAAAATATATTCAAACATTTTTGTTACACATTAAAATTAATTATAAATTAAAAATTATGTTTTTCAAAAAAATATCCAAACATCCATGATATATGTTAGAATCAATTATAAATTTAAAATTATAATTTTTTTAAAAAGATTCAATTGCCTCGATACATGTCAAAATTAATTATGAATATATAATTATAATTATCTCATAAGCTACTATTACCTACTTTTTAATTCATATTTTTAATTATATTTTTTTAAGAATTTATCTAAAAAATTATATAAATTATTTTACAATTCATTTCTTTTTGTTCATAATTAATTTTGATATAAATAGAAATGTCTGCACATCTATAAAAAATATATGATTTTGAATTTGTATTTAATTTTAACATGTATAATAAATATTTAGATAGTTTTAAAAAATATAAAATTAGATTTATAATTAATTTTAATATATAGTAAAAATATTTAAATATATTTTTATAAAATTATAATTTTAATCCCAAAAATTGATTTCAAATGTCATTCAAAGAGGCACAAAGTCTTCCTAGTCAAATCACATTAACTGATGTGTGCCCGCATTCTACTTTTTAATTATTCATATTTCTTCCAAATATAGTTATTGACAATTGATTTGGAACACTGTTTCTGACTCTTTGGGTGCCTGTCAATATTGTTTCCAATTGCTACATTTATACTATATATGCTGATATATATATATATATATATATATAGCAGTTGTGATTCAATAGTATGTTATCATGAAAAAATCACGTCGAATTCCTTTTAAGCAGATTTTGGCATGCCATCACATATATTTCAAATCATGACATTTCACGCATTGCAATATCTATTAAGAAAAATTAATTTTTTTAATATTATAAAAAATATATATATTTTTATTTTTATCTCAATTTTAAATAATAACATAACTATATTAAATACTTTTACATAAATTAAAAAAAATTAAAAAAATAATTTAATTATTACAAAATATCATATATTTTAAAGTAAAAATTACTTTTAAAATATGCCTCTTAAACAGGATTGGAGGAGTACATCCTAGATATAGGTCATTATAAATTATATAACTAAGGTATAACAGTTCATGTCACCTTTTATTTTTCTCAGATATGATATTAGCGCATAGAGACTGACTTTAAATGTTATTATATCATCGCATATAACACACACACACACACACACAAATCATCCGGGATAACATGACGTATATACCAAACGCCGAATACCTATAGCTCTTTCTCTGGTAAATTTTAATCATTATATACACTAAATATAATGGTAGCTCACACTATAGCGGAAAAGGTCATGATATCTAAAACGGTATAAAATATGAGGGAAAACTTTTCGTTTTCATATAAGTCAAGGTCTCTTAGCCAACTACGATACTTCTTCTTAAACTATTTCGAAAAAATAAATTTAAAAATGCATCAAGTATCATAAAGTCGTAATAATAAAGTTAAAGAGCGCATCACCAAAAAAAAAAAAAAAGGTTGGAGAGGACACGTGATATGCAAATGTTGCATATAAAGCAAGCTGATGATTTGACTGAAGCAGCTTTGGGTGGACACGACCATGAACATCAGGTTCCTTCCCAACAAAAAGCTTGATTCTTGAGCTTGTTAAATTTGAGTTTTAGATTAACATATCCAAATCTGTGTAGTGTTTTGAGGAGACTCAAGTGCACCAATTAATGGCACTTGTGAGTGGGGAGATCACAAAGGCATGCCATGTGGTGGAGTCAGCCTTTTTGGGAACTCTAATGATGACTGTACTTTAATTTCTATGCCGCCAACCTTTTGATTACTTAATGGGAACCGACTTTTTCAGAGTTTTTGTTTAGAAGATGTCCAGTTAATATTAATAACCATTCATTGGCCAAAAAAAAAAAAAAATTAATAACCATTAAATTTGCGATGCACTCGCTCTTTCATTAGCTGATCCGATGGTCATTTAAGTTCCTAGCCTTTTCCTTATCGCCTTGCGTTTTAGTCATGTTTGTATAGTCCAAAGAAAGAGAATAGTTTACTGTAGAGACGGATGAGATTCTTGAACAATGATTAATTAAGTATCCTCCCTCCCCGTCTCTATTTATAAATCATTTGGAAAGAGGGGCGGTTGGTTTGATTGTTCGAGGAGTTAAATTGACTTATTTTATAATTTTAAGTTTGAGTTTTAATATGCAATTATATTAAATTAAACACGTCAAATACATCATAAAAATACCAATAAAGCAGCATTGATAATATCAATTCCATACAGTAAGAATTTAAATTAGTTTGGATGAAAGGAGGCAATGCTCTCAAATTTTTCAAGACGTCGATGATGAAATTGAAAAGAAAATAAAGCAGTTGAAGGAAGTTCTATGGTCCTTTTTATAAGGCACCACATGAATTATTTACTAAAATTTTTTGAAAACGTATTTAATATAGGTAAAATATAAAAAAAATTAGCAGAGTTAATGATTTTAAAAACTTTAATTTCCTTGATTATTCTTGTAAAAAATATTGAAAGTAATTTATAAATAAAACTGAATGTGGGGGATTTGATTAAATTTTATTCTTTAAAAAATATTTTTGTTTATGTGAAACAAATGTAGAATTTTAGAAAATTTTTAAAAGTGATTTATATTATACGTGGGCTTAAACAGAACACTTAATCATGGTGTGATCTAATGCGATTGCAATAATTAAATAATAAACACTAATGCATTATTATCAGTTGTCAATGCTAATTAGTGTAACCAAATCAATATATAGCATGCATGGCATGGTCACCAATGAACTCTCTTCCTTTTCTTTAAATAATTGTCGTTGCTAATTGTCGTTGCTAATTTTTTTTATTTATTAGTCATTTTAAAATGTCAAGACAACATTATTATTTTTCCAAATAGTATATCATTATCTTCGCTGACTTAAAGTCTAAGACAATCTTAGTTACTAAAATAAAGACATATCAGAAATTTCGGTAAAAAATATTTTATATCTTAACCTATGTCTTAAAATTTCAAATGACAAGTAAAAAGAAATTACGGAAATAAATAGATGCATGACATGCCATCACGCCATGCTTGCATAATTTAACGCGTTTGACAAGCGTTGTTTGAATGCTTTTTCAAATTGCAAGATATCTTATGAATATGAATACTAATACGAACAATATATTACTACAGATCTTTCGAAAGCAAAGAACATACACTTCATAATGAAGAAATTAAAGAACATCATCAAAAATTGAGAGATGCACATTTTCTCAATTCATTCATTCATTACGTGAAAGAGGATCGCCGCACGCACCAGTATCCGAATCTAAGATGAATTATCATCTTATTATATTTTTCTTGAATTATATTAAACAGACCGTTAGAAAGAAGTGAAATTAGATAGAACGCCGTTAGTGTCGTCGGATTTGCAAAAACGGATCTTTTTCCCTTGGCTTGTTTTTCCATTTATTTGGAACTTAATCTCATGACTAAGGAGGGAGAGCTAATTTGATAATTCACCGAAAAGTAAAGAAATGGGAAATAATAAACCACATCAGATTACGCAGACTTGACGTTCAATTTACGATAGGAACACATACTTCAACGGTCAGGAAGACCACCACGTGTCAATGGCAATGGATTTGATCAAAAATATCAACATCGAGACCGTAAGAGCGTTCGATCGGTTTATTTATATATGGAAATGCCACACAGCCAATGACGTGTCCGTATTCATTATTTGTAAATTCGCCGCTTTGACCTCTCTTCTTGCTGCCTTCATGTTCCTTCGCACCCTGTCTCTCTCTCACAAGTACTTCACACTTGCCATCTTAGTTTTCGGTTCCTTTACTTCTAAACAAAAGACCACAACTTTACTGGTATGATTCACTTTTACTCACCTTTTTTTCGCTTAAATATTCGTATTGAATCACATTCCTGAATTCTGCGTCGCTTTTTGTCTTCGGGTGTTTAAGAGCATTGCGGTTTTTTATTTTCCATTAGAAATGGAGTTCCTGGTTTCTTGTTTTGGAGACCAGTTCAAGAACCCCACCTCTCTGAATGCAGTGAGCCGGATGGCTGATTTCTGCTCAGTTTCCCTGAGCTTGTTCAATCCGAGGTTCACATTGGAATCATGAGATTCAGTGTGTTGGGATTAGATACCAAAATTGAAACCCAAGTCAGTTACTTTATCAATTTTCAAGTTTATATATCTGGCTTGGAGGAAGGGATTAGATACAAAATTGATGTGACTGATTGTTTCTTTTCTTTTGCAGGCTAAGGTATAGTTATAGTATCGCTCTACCGAGTTAGAAATTTCTTTTCCTGATGGGGCTAACAACTATAAAGCCAAATAAAATGACCTGTTTGTGAAAGGAGTGCTTTGATTTTCCATCCCCTGTTACCTAATGCGAATTTTAGTGCATCGAGCAGATGGGTTGTAAAGATTTGTTTTGTTGTTGGGAAAAATAAATTATGGCTATTGTTGGTGTGCACAATGTGTCAGTGCTTGACTCTTCTTTCCTTAGGGACTCCTATTCTCAATCATCGAGTAGGCGTGCAGATGGAGGGAGGTCATCTTCACTTTTGCAGATATGGCAAGAGATCGAGGATGAGCATGAGGTGAGTCGTCAAGCTCAACCAAGCACTGATGGTTTCATTGGTGAACAGAGGCATGTTCTAGTCTTGGGTGGGAACGAGACTTGGCCCCAATCACAAGGCCAAAATGGATCTCGTGATAAGCAAGACGAGTTAAACAGTTCTGGCTGTGAAAACTCTTCTGATCTTGGAGATCTTGAAAGGGAAAGAGTAAGGAAAATCTTTAGAGAATGGATGAACAGTGGCGCTAGAGATAATGCGTCCAGCATCTCCATCAGAAGCAACAGGTCAAGGGTCGAGTGGCTTGGCGAAACAGAGCAGGAGAGGGTAAGAATCATAAGAGAGTGGGTACAGATGAGTATCAAGCAGGACAGTAGAGAAGGGCAATCTGCAGAAATTGAACGTGTTCGTGATGGGCTTGTTATAACTAAAAATGAAGGCCAGAGTGATCAAACTCGTCGAGGGATTCGCAGATTATGTGGCAGACAGGTTTTGCTTGATATGCTAAACAAGGCTGAGAGAGAAAGACAGAGAGAAGTTCAGGAGTTGTCAGGCCATCGGGCTGTATCTCATTTTCCCCATCGCAATCGCATTCAGGTTTGTCCTTACTAAAAATAACTTGTGTCTTCACGGAGAATATATATTTGCCCCTCTTGGCTGTATAAAGTTTGAAGCTTTGTAGTGTTAATAATGAGTGTAGCAACTGATGATGGGTTGTTAAATGTTTGTAGGCATTGCTAAGAGGCAGGTTTCTGAGAAATGATAGAGTTGCTGATAAAAAAAGGACCACTTCTGTCTCGGACAGTGAATTAGGCCTATTGAGGCAAAAGCAGACTGTATCAGGTTTAAGGTACCTAGTTCTTTCTACCATTAAGTTCAGGAGATATAATTTCCTGTTGTTTTAATCTGAAGTTGTTTTTTTAGATCTCTATGATTTTGCATGCCGTTTATAGAAGGTACTTGGGAAAGAAGTGTGTTTGAATACTGGAACCTTTATTTGGTTATTTTAATTTAATATGCATATTGCACTGGGTGTTGCATTGAATTTCTAAAGTGCTACCCACATCTAATTTACTAATTCTTTTGTTAAAAAAATAAGTATTTTTTGAGAGGTTGAATGTTAAAAAATATAAAACATTTTTAATCTTTTAAGATATAATCATTACCTATTTTTTAAAAGTGTTACTATTAAATAAATTACTTTATATTTTTTTAGGGTGAAACATCATATTAAAAAGGGATAAATATGAAAAAATAAAGTTAGTTTAAAAATAAATAACAGATTTGAAAAAAAAAATGCTTTACATTTTTAAATAGATTGAGCATTTCTTGAATTCGTTTGTCTCCTAGTACCTATCTTCTTCGATTTCTGTTTGAAATTATATGGCCATTTTTCATTTATGTTGCTGTTGTTAAGTTATATTATAACCATTTGATCTAACTATATATGATTTCCTACGGGTTGCATAAATAAAGTTTAGGATAAATTATACCGTTCAAAGCTTTTTATATTGATTCATGGTATTTTGTTTTTTGGATATGACAAAATATTAATTTTTTTAATAATTACCATGTTTAATTTGTAAGAAAGTATTCTAGTAAATTTGGGGATTGAGGTTCTTAAGTATTGCAGCGTGTTTTTCTCATGACATCAACTTGTTCTCTTAACAGGGAAGGATTTTTCTCAGAAAGAATGTTTCTGGTAGCAGTTTAGAAAGCAACAATTTACCTGATAACTCATCAAACAGTAACACCGATGAAACCAGCAGTTCACAAAGTTTCCCAAATGTGCATTCCAAACTATCTGAACCCAATTACCGAGGAACTGATGTGACTCAGATATCGGATGGTCAGATTTGCCTGCAGGGACCTGCACTTGAGACATTAGATTGGCAAGACTCTCGTGCTCATGTTGAAGGAGATGGCCTACATGATTTGAAAACTGAATCAAGAGATTCACGGTCATCAAACAATGCTGGGATCGAAAGAAGAGATGACTCTCCACAAAGTGTTAATGTGGTGTCACCTGAAGATACTTCCAAGGAACTTTCCCGACCACATTTGCCAATTGAAGATACAGAGCATTGCTCTATGCAGGTATTCAGTGAGGACCAGAACGAACAGTCCGATCATGGAAATTATTTAGAGGGAAATATCATTGATGACGATGACTTGAACGAACCTGTTTCCCTGGAAGGAGAGCTACCAGTAGGTTTTGGAAATGACGGAAGTGATTGTCTTCCAGTTGACGTTGAACATAGAGATAGCCCTGAGGAGAAAAGTATGGATCTTAATCATCCAGCTTCTGCTTCAAACGATTGGCCCCAACACATGTTGGAGAACGAAGATGGAGGAGACTCCTATGTTCAAGAAGCATCTGAATTGCGTCCACAAGATGATGAAGCTCTAGAACCGGTTGAAAATTTGTTGGGAGGACCTTCTGATTATGAAGGTGCTGCGACAGTTGGCAGAGCTCAGGTACTTTATTTTTCTGATGATGACAATGCGTATGGTGGAGAACTCGGTGAACTGTTAAGTAGGTATGCGAATATTCCTGAAGAACTTTGGGCTTGTTTCCATAATTTGGGAAAGTAAAAATGTAATATAGAATTAATATTGTTGTTGATCTGTGCAGGAGACGCGTTTCTAATCTCCTCAGCAGCAGTTTCCGTGGTAATCTGGATCAGTTGGTACAATCATACGTTGAAAGGCAGAACCATGCTCAAATGGAGTGGGAGCTGCAAGAGGGGAAGAAGATCAAGAGGAGCGTGCGATGGATCAGATTGGTGGTCAAGACACTACGGTTTACCTGCCCTCATCACCAACTCAATCTTCTCCACACCGACACTTGCATAACGATAATTGGCCACAAGATGACATGAATAATCAACATACTGGCATTGTACGTTCTTCCTCCCCCCCCCCCGGGGGTGCAGGAATAGATACTGTTCAAGTTGCTTCATTCACCCGTAGTTTTCTAATTTTGATACATCCAATATATATGTACATCTTTTGCAGGAGTGGGAGATTATTAATGGCTTGAGGATTGACATGGCTGTGCTACAGGAGAGAATGAATGAAATGCAGAGAATGTTGGAGGCCTGCATGGATATGCAGCTTGAGCTGCAACGCTCATTAAGGCAGGAAGTTTCTGCAGCACTTCATTCCTCAGATGATGGGTCAACAAGTATGCGTCTCGTTTTCCTCCTTCATAGTCCGTATTGTAATGCTACTGCTATTATTTGTGAGGAATCATAGTTAAGTTGAGGCTACGTTAATCACAGGGTTGCAAGACCATGATTCCCGAGAAGATAAATCTAAGTGGGAGTGTGTGAGGAAAGGACTTTGCTGTATATGTTGTGAGAGCAGTATTGATTCTTTATTGTACAGGTGATCCATCCCTCCCCAAATTTTGTTGCTGAGAATCATGATCACTTGAGTACTCATATGGTTTTATAATATTGCAGATGTGGGCACATGTGTATGTGCTTGAAATGTGCGAATGAATTGTTGGAAGGCAAGAGAAAGTGCCCAATGTGTCGAGCACCTGTGGTGGAGGTGGTACATGCTTATGCGATAGTATAATGTCGACATTAATAGGTCACACTTACAAAGTTTAGGACCCTGACAAGTTTCAGCTTCTGGACCTTTCTTGCTTTGATTCCTGTATCTATTTATGATAGGTGCCACCATGGTAATGGAACGCCCAATGGCATATTTTTGGGCCATTGATCCTGATTCTAGTAAATTTCAATAGCTTAACGTTCTTCGCAAAACCACCGTATCTCTAAAGCTTGAGCAACTACGGCTCCGTCTCCGGCTGCATGTCCCCATTGCACTACCTTGTCGCCACGTTTCACCATTCTCGACAGTCGATGCTACGTGTCGACGTCCAACGACCTGATCGCTAGTTGGCTGCGCCTTAGCCGACTCTGCCTGCTGTTGTTCCCCAACAAAAAATTTTGTTCCCCGACAAATCGGGCATGTCACGTGCGAGGATAGCCATCTGTCGATGCATTGCTGGTGGAACACGTGCTTACAGTTGGGAACCATCTTAACGGTCTCACCGATCTCGAATTCGCTGAGGCAGATGGCGCAGTCCTCCTGGTTTTTTGCCTCTGCGTTGTACCGAAACCCCGGCAAGGACTGGACGGTGGTTTGGTCGAGACCACCGCACGAGGATGATGGAGAATAATAATTAGAGGACGCCGATGGCAAGTAGCGGGCGGGCGCGGGGGAGTGGTCGGCAAACCGTCGCATGAACAGAACGATGAAGGCTATTAAGAGCAGGACGATGATGACGATGCAAGCGACTTCAGAATTGAAGGTTACAGGCGCTGATAGTTTCAAAGGTGTTACGAACAATGAAGCCGACAGTGGCGCGGCCGTTAACCTTGGTGGTGAAGAGGCGTCGTTGGAGGAGGGCTCATCTTCGTTCAGCAGGAGCAGTCTCCGATTGTAGAGTTCCATTTTCTCTGGAATCAGAAACCAGAAATATAGCGAAGAGCTATTAGTTATTACCCTTGAGAGAGGATTGAGGGAATCTGTGGGATGAATGATGAAGGAAAGCAGAGTGGGGTTTATAAGGACAGGTTATTTAATGTATTGAGGGGTGACGTGATGGGGACTAATTGTGGGAGCCACCATATCTCGTCGGTGACTCTGGAGTTTACAAGAATTTTACTGCTGATCTGAAACATTGTAAGATTGCAAATGGATAAGGTAGAATTTCTTTTCCAATGGAAAACCCACGGATCCCACTCCACTCTTCAGTTCTGCTAAATTTTTGTTTCTTAGAAACAGGGACTCGTTATTTCGTGTTTTCGAAAATCAAGGTCAGAGATTCTGAAGTCATTACAAAATCAATAACTTTATTCCCCCGTTACCTATTTTTATTGAACTAAAGAGGAAGGGAAGAGTCAACGAAAAACACACCACCACATGTGTGAGCATCCAGTTCAATCCTAATTCATGGAATATAGGGGCTCGTACATGTGATGGAACAGCGATAGATAGGCATTAGAATATTCCACTTCTTTGTATTCTCTTTCCCTCACTTGTAGTAATTCTTGTTTACTTAGATATTATAGCGATTACCGCCGCGGACAAGCTAAAACTAAATATCAGAAACAAACCAGCTTATTTTCATACCAACGAGAAACATAAAACTAACATTACCATCTTAATTACACCGTCGTACATTTCCTACATTGCCCTTCCCACATCTACGCAAATTCTGTCAAACTGAAATTGGTTACAGAGGATATCAGTCTCAGACCCTCAAGTCAATCCTATTTTCCAAGTGGAGAAAGTTGGGGAGAGCAAACTATTGCGAAACTTAAAATTCAACTATATTCATATGATCTACTACCAAGAAACAACGTAAAAAAAAAAAAAAAAAATCTACACGGATATCCACTCCCAACAGCTGACTTAAAACAACATGAAAGTAGTTGAAAGACTTGAGGCCTAATTAAACTAGTCACGAGCAGCATCGCTGGACATATAATTGGTGACAGCTTTGGCACCCTCAGCAATGGCATGCCTGCCAAGCTCTCCGGGCAGAACCAGCTTCACTGCCCCTTGAATCTCCCTTGACGACAATGTCATGTGTCCCGTGTACGTCTTCAGCCTCGTAGCTTCATCCGCAAGCCTCTCAAACATATCAGTCATCAGATTGTTCAGAATGGTCATGGCCTGAAATGAAATTCCCATCTCAGGGTGAACTTGCTTCAGTACTCTGTACACGTACCTCCTGTACCCTTCTCCACTTCTCCCCACCTTCTTTCTCTTCCTTTTCACTCCTTTGTTTCCACTACCTTTCCCTTCACTTCCTTCTTTTATTGGCTTTTCAGCAATATTTTGGGTTTTTTCTCGCTCTCTTTTCTGTTCAGGGTCTTCCCTAGTGTCACTTGCATTTTCATCAGGTGGGGTTTGAACAGGAATGGTTCTCACACGGTCTTTGTTTGCTTCTTCTGATTCGGCGTCTTTGTTTGCTCTCGTTGATCTTTTGGTGCTGCTAACAACGGAGACTTGAACCGTGCTTTCTTCCACAACTCTTCTGGCGGATTTGACCACGATTCTCTCAGCCCGCTTTGGAGCCATTGAGCTGTGTATCGCCTTACTGTGAAAGTGTGAGTGCTTGGTTGTGACGGTAAAGGTGGAAAAGTGCTGATTTATAGAACTCGAAGGCGGAACTTGCTGGAGGAGCAGAGGTTGACGTGTGGGAGGAGTACGTGTCAAGTGTTCATGAATCGAGTAGATACGTGTGGTTAAAAAGGGAATGGTAACTTACAGATGCTTCTCGTAGGAGATTGGAGAATGGGCCCCATGAAATCTGGCACATATCGTCTCTTTTCGTTTTCTTTAATGGGGAAAAAATCATTGTCCGTCTATCTGCGTTTATATTAATAATTAATAATGAATATTAATAATAAAGCATATAAAAAGTGACCAATCAATATTACATATCCATTTTCTTACCTATCAAATTAATTGCAATGGGATGATGCAACTATATTTCTATCTTCCCCTTAGATCCCTTTTTAATTATTAGTGACGGCAATTTGTTTTGTATGATATCATTTTTAAAAGTTAAGTTTACAAATATATTAGTTTTTTTTCTCCAACAAAAATATATTAGCTTACACCTCTTAGAATAGCTATCTAGTTATTTATAAACTATGAATAAGTTTGACCAAAAAAACTGTGAATATGAATAAATAAACTCATTTTTTTTTCTATCACATACTCCGAACTTTCGAATCACAATATAAAACAATTTTTTGAAGTCTTAATTAGTTAATAATATAGGATATTGGGCAATTTTTATTACTTTGATAGCATTTACGGTTCTCTTGAATGATGTGATATATTACACTAGGCAAATTCTTAACACCTCGCCCCTATTTTATTTATTATTTATTAAAAAAATTAATGTATTAGAATTTCAATTGTCATCAACAAGGCATTTATATAAAATATTTAATGAAAGAGCATAATTGTAAAATTGTAATTTTTTTTAAAAAAAATTAAGATTTCAACTGATATGTTTTTGAAGACCATAAATTAGTTATCTCAATACCCTTTATTGTGAAATCCATAGAGCATAGGGAGTGCAATATTTTATGGAGAAATTTACATATAATAATCACTATATATATAACAGAAAACAGGATCAATTTTTATTATTTATTTAATATTTAGCTAGATAAAAAGATGTGTTACGTGCAATTACCTAAATTTAATATTATCAAGTTAGATTTAAGCATTACCAACTTGATTGGTCTAAGATTTCTATAGTAAACAAGATTTCAACATTCGATCTTGTTCAAGACTCGATCGGTTCCTCTCATTTGACCAGATCACTGCTGGTTTTAGATAACTATGTTTTTAACTTGCTACTTTTCTTTCTTTCTTTCTTTCTTTTTCGCCAAAAAATTGCTACTTTTCTAATAATTATCAATTTCTTAAAACTCCCTTTTATTTGGGACTTATAAAGTTATAATTATAAATTCCAAACAAAAATTTGAAAGTAATTTTTTATGTAATTATTAAAATAATACATTATCTCTCAATAAAATCAGTTATTGTAATGAACATGTTCGCGATTAAAAAAAAAAAGGTGTCGTAATTAACGAGCATAGTTATACTAAATGAACGATTATTACTATTATCGTGGTGTGGAATAGTATTTGTTTTTAGCAGAGGCTAACTCTGCGGCATGCACCGGCAATTCAACTGAAGAAACGTAGCATTGATATTGATTCGATGTTAAATTCATTCGAAGCTAAGTACTAGACACAACTTGGTTTCCTCGGAGGTAAGAGATATAAGCCACACATCATGCTCTACAAAGGGCAAATTCAAGCTTATAATGTCCTGGTTCAGCATTAACAATAAGGCGAAACAAGCAAATCAACAGTTGACCAAGAGGAGCGGCAGAGGAAGGAGAGAGATGATCAATAGGGGCGAGACAATGGCAGGGAGCAAGTTAGATCAACAAGCGTTGAAGGATTGAAGCGTGGAAATAGTCACCGCTTATCAGAGTGGGATGTCTTCAAGTTGACAACTACAAGCGTTGAAGGATGCTCCACATGCATATGGTTCATTATATAATTCAGCGACCTTGTACTTTCTCTTCTCCCCTCTCACGCATCCTCTTAATATTACGATTCCCAGAACTACACGTAAGAGCTTTATTTCAAGTGTTACAGTGCGTTGAATGTATGTTAACGTATTTATAGCAGTTAACCGTGACCATGTGAAGAGGAGATGGATTGAAGAGATCATACACTTCTGCATCTGTTTCGAGGCTTAGAAAACTCGGTCCTGGAAATGGATTGAAAGAAAGAGTCTAGCTCTTGAAGCCTCGTGTCCTCAAAGAAGTGCAACTCGTGAGCTGTGAATGATCTCCTCGTCAACGACGTCCAAGACGAAGGCGATCGTCTCCTCTTTCTGGGAGCAGGAGGGCAATTTTGAATTTCTGGTATTCGATTGCCTGAATCAGTCGGCGTAGTACAGTACTGATCTTCCTCCTCTGGTTTCTCTTTTCCTTCTTCTCCTTCTTCTTCAACAACACCCTTGCGTGACACTGATCCCTTCCCCTCAGCAGACTCCATAGATTGGAGCTCCGAGCTTCGAAACTTTCCAAGTATGAGAAAGCTTTGACAGTGGAGATCATGGATCGATGGAAACTTGGTTTGTGGAAGGAGTTTGGAAGACTTTCTGATTGTTTTGGAGTGAGGCATGAAACTCGAGAGAATGACAGTGCCGTGTGGTTATAGTCGCCAATGACAGCCCCATGTGAAGAACCTCGTCCTTTCGTTTTTATTATATTAGGCCCTTTCTTTGCTTTTATTCTCCTTCTTGTCTCTACCTCACCCTATATTCATCACTTTTGATTTATTAATTAATATGGATAGCCTCTGATTTATTTTATTACTCATCAATTATATATGCCAGTTTTTTTCCTTGCCAAGTCAGTTTTACTGATTAATAAATATTACAATCAACAATAGGTGAAGCCAAAACCAAAAACATCCAAACCTAAACATTATAAACCTAACCCAACAAACTCACCCAAAAGCGAAAAAACCTATCGCACAGCCTAAAGCAAAATTAAAAACAAATCGCCAACAGAGAGAACCAGTACCTCTTATCTTCCCTCGACAAATATTGTTGAGCTTTTGATGATTCAAATTTTTCATACTCTCTTTATCATGCATGCTGTTGGTATCTGACCCTTTTTCTAACTATATTTTGCCGACTTTTATTTTTTTTAACTAATGGCTTCATTACTTATATAATTTCTGCTTAAATTTATTTACTTAATTACTAAAATATGTCTAATTTGGTTTTCTTAACCTGCAACAAAAATTGCTATCAAATTGAATATCTTGTCGATTTAAATTTTAATAAATTGAATGTTATGTGCTTTTATTATGGGAAAATTTTTGTGTATAAATTTTTATTGTAAAAATTTTAATTCAAAGCATGTCAAACATATTGGGTTTGTATTTTAAAAAATAAAAATTATTAAATTAAAAGAACATTTGAGAATTCTTTGTCATTGTTACGACTGAATTGTTATTTTTTTTTGGGGTAAAAAGACTAATTAATCGTGCTAAGTTTAAAAAAAAATCTATAAGACACTTTATATAATTAAACTACTTCATTAAAATTCATCTGTATATCCATTTGTTCTTACTAGACATTAAAAGTCACAATGGTATTAATTTTATTATTATTTTATATATTGATGATCAAATTACCTTTCTAGTGGAATAACTAGGATTTGAGACCAACATCTGGGAAAGGAAGAGGACACATATACTTCTTTGATCCTATTTATTAGACATGGATAGAAGAAAAAACTTGGTCCTATTTAAAAGGTGCTTACCAATTTTTTATGCTCTTGTTTATAATTTTATCTATATTAAATATTTAAATAAAAATATTAATAATAAAATTTAAGAATATTTATTAAAGGTAAAAGTAAAAACTTATTAAATTTTAAGATAAAACTAATAAAATTTAAAATTTTTTTAATTTTAATGAGACATGTTAAAATTAATTTATAAATAGGACGAGAAAAATGCCACTTTACTACACACTCTCTCTCTCACATACACAATATTTTGTGAAAATTTTGTTTTCTCCCTAAATAGTAGATATAAATACAAAGAGTGTCGGTTGATACAAAAAAATAATATAAAAAGCGGCATGACAATTTTAAAAACAACTTTGCCCTCAATGTCTACTTTACCCACTATTATAATATTTAATTAATGATAACATTATTAAGAACAAATTAAAACTGTAAAACTGTTATGATTTTATGTGCTTTTAATTAAATAAAAATTTTTATTTGTATGCAAAATTTGATTAAAATATATTATACGTTACTTTCTCTAAATTACAATATAAATTATTATTGACTAATTTTTATTTTTTAAAAGAAGTTGATTAAAAATCTTAATTTTCTAAAAAACTTCACATCTTTCAATAGTAATATATATGATTTGATTTAGTGAAAATGTTAATTATTTAATAAAAAATAGTGTAATTAAATATATATACGTTGGCCAAAAAAATTTAAAATATATATATATATATATATAAAACACCTACTTAATGTTTTGTATTTTAAATTAAACAAAAGTTTTAAAAAATAACTTATATTATAGTGTGGAGGAATATACGCTTGGCGAGGCGAAGGTACGTTGTTATCCACTTTGGATAACTGAAATTACGAACACTCTTTACACGTGGAGACCTATGAATCGGAGAATTCTCAAAAAGGGTTTTTATTTTTGGGTGCCCTAGGCCAAGTCAGAGAGATGGACTGCAGAGGATAGAAACTGAAGACTGGCCGCAAAATTCCAGCAAGTCATCCGACCAAAGATTTTCAAAATCATAGATTTTTTTTTAAATAAAAAAAGTTGGACCTTCGGCTTTCGCCCTTCGCTTTGGGACGTCCGCCCCTCGTTTTCCCTCCCTTCTCAGTTTCACAGTACAAATTTTCATTACTATTTTTTTTTTGTATTTTTAAAGTGTAATTGACATTTTTATCTTTTCATTAACGTGACTCGCATTTTTTAACCAACTACAAAAGGAGACTTGGGTGTTGCACAAACAAGAGTGCTAAAGTTTACTATAGCAAACAAGAGCGAATGGTAATGTGTGTGGATATTTGAGAAACCATATATATTGGGAAATATATTATTAAAAAAAGCAAATAA